GTTTAAAAAAAAAAAACAAACAAAAACTTGCAGAGACATTGCTGTACAACTCATGATTTCACGCTTTGTAGCCATCTTGGAGAACAGAAATTTCAAAATCTCAAACAGCAAAAACTGAATCAAAGGGTAACATAAATCCAGTTACCCAGTCTTACGTGCAATTTTGTAAGTAACAAAATAAATAAAACCATATGTAGATGATGAGATACATTTTAAAATGGATATTAATGTTCAACAATGTTCCTAGATTAAAAGGAGCTAGACAAGACTTGAGTAAAATTCAGCTTCCAGATTCTTCTGGGTAAGAGGGCTTCAGATATTTCAGAGAACATTGAAAAATGTAGTGAAAAATTGTCTAGATCAGCATTGCACTTGGCAAAAGTTTGGATAGTAACAATATCCCCCAGTTATTGATATGTGTCAGAGCAAGTACTTGGGAGCTAGATGTGACAAAAGACCTTTTGGATCTGATAACATTGCAAAATGGTGGTAATGGAGAAGACATAAAAATCACTGTCATGGATGTCCTCAAAGGTTTTTGATTAGCACTAGAATAAGTAACAGCCTTGCAACAAACAGGGCTCTAGCTATGCTAGGTAAGAGAAGCAGTGCTGTTTCTTTGCTTCGGCAAAAACTGAAATGTGAAAAATCAACTCATGAAATTGTCTCATCTCACTGCATTGTACAGCAGGAAGCATTTATTGCAAAGTTTGCTTGTCTTCAGGACATCATGAAAGAGCTTATTGAACTGGTCTGTTTTATCAGGACAGGAGCCAGAGACCACCAGCCATTCAAAATTCTGTGGGAAGAATTTGAGACGGAGTATGGTGATTTGCTTCTGCAGTGACAGTTTTTTTTGGAAACTAGTAAACCATCTTTCTCATTGCAAAATTAGCCAGGATGTTTATCTCTGTCTTCCCATCAACCTGAAATGCAGGTTTCTGTGCTTTTTCTGTGCCTTTTCTGTGCTAATTCAGATCAAAAGTACTAGGCAAAATATACTGTCCAAAATGAAAACCATCTTTGAATTTGTCACAACCCAAGGGTGTGATTTTTGTTTTGTGAGTGCTTCGGCACTGCTAAATTGTTCCCGCTAAATTGCAGCTTCTTTGCACGGTGGAGTTTTCTGCTGCAGAGGAGAACCCCGGTGCAAAAGAATTCCCGCCACCAGTAGCTTTCTTTGCAGGGTGCATTTCTTTGTTGCAGCACAGAAATGCACGTTGCAAGGAGTTCCCGCCATTCGTATTCAGATTTTGCCCCACCATTGGCTAGTTCTAAATTATTCCTACGTGGCGGCTAGTGATTGGCTTGCTAGCCGTATAAAAAGCTCGAGTGGTTTCCGCCCAAGTTGGAGGACTCCACGAACACCAGGAGGAGGAGACTTCAC